TAATAAGCAACTAGTTAATGGCTGATATGTGTTCCTTAATATAAAGTGTTAGCCTAAACCTGTGTCCAGCTCTTGAGTAGATCTACCTTCTACTTGATGAGGGTTAGGGTTACAGTGGGTGTTTGGGTAAACTTTGATTCCAGCGCTATGAGGAATAATAACAGGTCAGACATCTTGGTTTACCTGAGTCTTGCCTCCTGTGCTTTCCTGCACTGCGCTCCTGGACAGAGCTGTACTGGCTGCAAAAGACTTGAAGGAAGCACCGAAGATGTTGCCAACTCCAAAGGCAATCAGCTCCTACAGCCAAATCAAAGAGAAAACACGTTTTGTTATCACTATCCCAGACTTCTACCTCAGTGTGTCACGTCTGTTTTAGCATTGTTACAAACCTGATTTCCATCTATGGTGTAATCGTGTTTTACAGAGTAGACCTTTGCCACGGAGAAGGCCACAGCAAAACCCACTATAGCCATAGGAAACGCTTCAACTGCTGTCTCCTGGAAGATGTGCAGGTTTGGAGCCATCGGAGGCTCATACCTGAAACAAGTGAGTACTGTCAGGCTGATGATTTTCTCAATCTGTTGACAGGCTCTAATGTGTTTTATGGATGTCTTTTAACACTGGAGTAGTCCGAAAAGTTATTTTTACTCCAGTATGTATACACAACAGAGAGATTTACAGGTTTTGATTTAATGGCACATCGGTCCATTTACCCTCTCAGCTGATAACCTAACAAGTGTTGTATCAATACTGATGGGTGTGGCCTTACAGATACACATATCCTCACTATCTTTAATCTCTGAGTGACCTCTAGTGCATGAATTACTCTGCTCTGACAGATAGTGACTGGGAAGAGATAAATCAGTGCTTTCACTGCTCCGGTACTTGACTGTGCCTCCTACAAAGGATATCTCTGTTCTTCAAAGAGAGTTGTTATACATGGATTCACATGGCATTTAAAGTAAACTATAGTAGAGATTTTCTCCACCAAAAAGGTTATGTTTACACAAAAACAACTCTTCAACTTTTGAATTAGCACTGGATTGTTTCACTTTCTTCAACAATGTAAGATAGGGTATTTTTCAACCGAGGGAATAATTCATGGATCTTAAACATTTTAGAAAATTGTGTATGAAATGTTTCTGGACACGTAAAAAATACCCATCCAACACTCACTGTTCTTTAGCTTTAATAAGCTTCTTCACCAACTCATCTCACTCTTTATGTGCTGAATGCTCCACTGGGTTCCTCAGCTAAGCTTT